CTCCTGGATGCTCTCACTGTGGAGGGGGCTTGTTTCTGGCCAGCCAGGAGCAGGCATGAAGGTACAATACTGCTGAAGGCCTGTGGGGCAGAAGGCAGTGACAAGGCTGGGACAGCTTCCAGCCACACCACCCTTGGTCCCCGTGCACTCTGCAAAAGAAGGGGGTTCCCCTCTCCCTGTATTACCTGCCAGGCGGCCCAGGCCTCCATTTCCCAGCCCAGCATCTTCTTCAATTTCTTCCAGCTCCTCCAAGTCCAAACCCAGCTATTGGAAAGAACCACAGCAGAACATGTCATCACCTAAACCTCATGTCCCGAGATGCTCTCCAAGGAGGCCAAACACAGATCCCAAACCCAACCCCAGTGTGGGGAATTAAAACTCACAGGGTTTTTGCTCCATCCCCACCACTCCCCACAAAGCACCTCAACAGCCCCTCGTCCTTGGCAGACCAGTTAACTGGAAAACAATTTAGCCCATCATCAAACGCCCCATTCCTATGAACTAGGTTTCCTTAGAGACTTCAAACAAAACACTCATCTCCTGACAGCCCCCCATGCCAGGAGGCCCTTCAGCCAAACTCGCCAGGATGGTGAATGGTCAAGCTGGTGTGCAAGGGACCAAGTCCAGCAGGGCAGGTCATCCCTCTGCTTGCACCCATCAAGTCCTTGAGAAAGGGCATGACCAGACTGGCAGCAGTTACTCTCCATGCTTCCCACATCCTGGCCAGCCTGCAGCCGAGCTCCTTGGCTGCAGTCCATTGCTGGAAGTGGTTGCCTGCATCCTCTGTTTGTTCGCTGGCCTGGGGGCCACTGCCGGATGGAGGCTAAACATGCCAGTGGCAAGGACTCTGAAGGAGTCAAGAGATGCTGCCTCCTGGGGGGCAGCACTATCTCACCTTGGTGCCAGGGGGGCTGTTTAAGCCAACACCATGGCTGCTCCCCAAACTGTTTTCCCAGACTTCAGTGGTCTGCAACCACAAGATGGGAAAGCCTCATGCACCCGGTGATGCGGACACAAAAAATGAGGCAAATTCTCTCAGTGACAGAGTCATGCTGGACACCTCCCAACACACCTGGGACCAGGGGGAAGAGGCAGGGAGAAATAAAGCCTTTGAGTGAGAAAGCCAAAAAACACGCATTCTGCCAAAAAACATCACCGAGTTGCTGAGAGATGGCTGCAAGTAAAGATGTAAGTAACCATGGCCTCACATTTGTGATTGCCTTGGTGATACCCAGCTGTGCTTTTTTCCACCTGGAAGTCATCTGATCACATTTTACTTCGTGTAAACAATTTCCCCCCTTTCTCCCTTCCCAATGATTAACTTCTCTCTGGCAGCGCTGCTGCTGTGCCTTGTGTACCTGTATGTATGAAATGTAATCTGGTGTTTCAGTGCTCCAGTTTCCTCTTCTGGCCCAGTCTCTCCTATTAGTCTACATCTCCTGTGGTAAGCCATCATGTCTCCTGCTAATGGACAGCCCTTTGCAGCCTGTGACTCCCTAATTATTTGGGATACTAGGTGTTGTTTTCTGTACACACTTCTGGATTTTCCCATTCACTACAGGAAAACAGTGGTTTGAAAAAACCCTACTCTAACTCCAAGGCAACCAAGGGTCTCCCCACTGTCTTCTCCAGGGAATGAAAAACACTAAGAGAGAGCCAAGGCTTGTTTTGTACAGTCAAAAGAACACTACCTTAGGGTAAAGTCCTGAGAAATAAAGATACTCTGTGTGGAAAAAGTTAGCCAGTACCTCAGAGGAATCCTGGTACCCCCAAGACTTTACCTGGTAAATAGCTTCGTCACAAGCATTCTGCAGGCCCAAATTCACCATGGTGTTCTGCAGAGTGCGACCCATATAGAACTCCAGGGACAGGTAGTAAATGCGCTGGGGAGGCAAAGCAAGTCATTTATACACAGCACAGCACTTCGCTTTCACCAAAGTTGCTTAAAACCAAGAGCAGACCCAAATATTTTCCAGAGTAGGGATGTCTTCCCAGACTGGCTCTTGGCGCCTGCTCCTGAACACCACGCACCACAGTTGTTTGTCAGAAGAATCTCGCACGGGATGCCGGCCAAGCCTCCGCCACGCATCTCCCTGCCAACAGCCTTCTATAGAAAAATCTTGCTGCCTGTTAAGTGTTTCCCTAATTAACTCAGGGCAAGAATTATCTAGGATGCTGAATAGTGTATTTATACACTGTCAGGCTCAGCTGAGGTGATGTTTACGCTGGGCTTTTAAAGTTTTCCCAGGCTAGGCTGTAGCTGATCCAGAGCCTCCCAAAAGCCAGAGTGAGACCCCTGCCCGGAGCAGGCTGGCTGGGCCCAGGACCAGCATCTTCCTGCTAGCAATTTTCCAGCACTCCCATCGCATGGGTCTGTCTCCCTGTTCTCCCCACACTGAGTTTCACACATTTCACCCTGTTGAACAAATAAACTGTCCCGGGGTGGCAGGGTTCCTGGCACAACCGTGCACAACAGGCTGCTCCGTTGTGACCTTCCAAGTTTGAGAGGAGCGGAGTCTGTGCCACGAATGCTAACGAAAGCCTGTTTGTGGGATGAGAAACAGGCTGTGCAACCTTTTGCCCTCACTCAGATTTATTGCTGCGGATATTTTTAAAAATAAACAGGAATTTTTAACAGAGCAATAACCTGACTTTAAATCGTGCTTTTACTTGAATCTCTTTCCACTGTAGCTTGGATCTTTCCCTGCTAAGCAGCAGGATTACCCACTCTGCCACCTCTGCTGGGAGTCTGAAAGGGTCTGTCTATTCCCTGGGGCTCATCATAAAATCCAAAAACATTGCATAATTGCACAAATGCTCTGCCTCTTTCAGTCTGCCACAGAAACACATTCCTAGTGAAAATCTAAGTGTGGGGGACAGTAAGAAAACTTACTCCAAGGTCCTCCGAGCCCTTATGGCATCTGTACAAGCCCTTCTGTTGGTGCAGCAATACAGACCAGGGCGCATTTGTGTAAGGATAAAAGGGAGAGCCCCATGCACCAGTGTAACTCCCAGTGTATGTGCAGCCATTCCGTTGTGAAAGTGCGCTTTGCTTCTTGTGTCAAGGCAATATTTATAATCTTGGGAAATGAGCTGACTCAGGGAGGTGGCTGCCTGCACACTGTAAGTGCCTTTCCTAGTACCTGCTCTCTGTGGCTCTCCAGTCAAATGCTGGGTCGGGTCCCAGTTTAAATGTCCTGCAGCCCCCAGCTCCTCCAGCATTGCTGTCCTGACTTGACAAGTGGGGAGAAACCCTAGGGTCCGGTTTTCACAAGGCAAGAAACTCCTCTCCAGTCTCAAAGCCAAGCTGCCTGCGTATTCTGCAGGAGTGAAGTCAGGACACGGCTGTGGCGAGGCATGTGCTGAGACATGGAGGTGATGATGCCCATAGGGGACACCTCCGTGGCAGTGCCAGTGCAGGACGTGACCGCGGTGAAGTGCGCACAACATTTAGCACCAGCAAGGCCCATGGAAAGACATGCTCAGAGTGGGATCGCAGGGGACAGGGCTGTGACAAGGTGCAGAGGTCACAGTTATGGGGGAGAGGACAATACTGCAACAAGGTTCATTGAGACAGGGCTGCAAAAGAGTTTGTGGGGACACAGTTATGGCAAACTGTACGAGGGACGTGGCCATGGTGACGTCCATGGCAAGATGTGTGTGAGGGACACAGCCACCGTGAAGTGCGTTCAAGGGACATGGCCGTGGCAATGCCCATGGGGAAACAGCCACAGCAGAGTGCGAGTGATACAGGTGTGACGATGCCCACAGGGAAGAAGCCATGACAGGATGCACGAGGGGCACGGCCATTGCAAGGAACCACAGTGATGCACAAGGGGCCACAGCCACAGCCAAGTGCACACAAGGGACAAGGTTGTGGGAATGCCCATGGGTCATGCCTGCAGTGACACCCGTCAGGGGGACACAGAGACACCCACGAAGAAGGCACAGCCGCCGCGCCCCGGTCCCTCGTTCCCCTGGGGCTCACCTTGGGGTCCCGCTCGTAGTAGTGCTGCTGGGTGCGGATCCAGCGACCCACCAGGTGGTCGCGCACCGTGTGGGCCAGCGCGAAGTAGTAGTCGCGGGGGGTGGCGACGTTGCGGTCCTTGACGAGGGTGAAGTGGAGGTGGCGGTTGAAGCTCTTGCGAACCTCCGCCACGTCCCCCAGCCCCGCGATGCCCCGCACGCTGATCTGCTTCCGACGGTCCCCGTCGCTCAGCGGCGCCGCCATCCCGCCGGCTCCGGCTCCGGCGCCGCCGCTGCTGCTCCTGCTGGTGCTGCTGCCGCCTCTGCCGCAGCCGGGCCGGGGCAGGTCCGGGGCAGCCGCGCCTGCGCCTCCACCGTCCGCGACGAGGCGGGGCCGCTGCCGGGGCGGGCTGATGGGGACCGGGATGGCGAGGTGGGACTGGGGTGGCGTAGGGGGCTGGGATGGTTCGTGGGGACAGGGATGGAGTGGGGGGACGGGGACGGCGGCAAAGGACTGTGATGACCCGAGGGGTCAGGGATGGCATCAGGGTACTAATTTCTCAACCGACCCACTGTGCGAGCTCTGGCGCTAAAAGCCACCCCACCACCAGCATCACGTTTTCATTTTAAATTGTGAGTTTACTGTCAGAACGGCGGGGTTCAGGTGTCCCCGGTACGCTCAGCTGCAGAGCCCGCAGCCATGCAGCAGCGTGCCTCCAGGCCACCACGTACTGCTGCCGTGAGCCCACGAGTCCGGGCTGGCACTGCTGGCTCTCGGGGAAGCTGAGCTCTTTTGCACCACCAAGAGACCACTTCAGTCTTCTCTATACATTCATACAAATACATCACAATTCCACAGTTAGGTTACAAACAGCACAGCACGCCCCCTCCAGCTCCTGCTGCCCCTGCCCGTGCACTGGGAGCACTGCACTGCAGCTACCCTGCCGTGGCTCAGTGTGACCACAATATATTCATTTATCACAGAAGCAGCGGTACCTGAAACAACACAGAAATGCACTCACCCCAGGCCCTGCATCAACCCTGCCAAGGCACAAAAGTCTGCAATGTCCAACAAACCGTGCTCAGGGTTTATTTTTGTGACTGTGTCTTGTTCACTGATGTTACTCCAACTGACTCCAGAACTGTCAAATCCATCATTATCCCTGCACCCAGTTCCCAGGTCTTGCTCGTCTAGATCCAGCAAATCTGATGTTGTCTTCCACCATCCACCTCCCAAAGGCAGGGAATCAACATTAGTCTTTAACGCTACAGGGCTCACAGGCTCATGCCTCCAAGTCCATATCCAGTTTCTAGAGTGCTCCCAAGCTTTCCCCTTTCACCAAGTGGAAAACAGAGCTGCAGCTTCCACGCTGCATTTCAAAGCTGCTGCCTGTCAACATCTGTGTAAATGCACCATTTCTGCACACACGTAAGTTCACCTTCAAACACGAGTAGTAACATAAAAATCATCACTGAAAACTGCTGACAAACATGAAAAATCACCCTGAAATCAGGACTGTAAAGCGTTCCTTGTGGAGTGATCGTTTCCTACAGCAACTTTAGCATACTGCAAGCTCATAGTACAGGCATATTCCAAAAAGGTGTGTTTTTCTCATAGAGATCATAGATGTCCTGCAGAGCCCTGGTTTTCCTTCCATGATGATCAAGTTTTACATCAAGCTGATGCGAGATGCTGTCAAATCAAGGCTTATTTTTTACACACTGCACTCTGCACTGTAAAAAAGAGCTAGTGATGGAGAGGACTTGGCAGGTGGTTGGAGGAAAGGAACCTGTTTCATGGTGACCTTCCAAATGACTGCAGAAGCCAAAAGCATGCCCTTCAACAGATTCTCCCATGTTGGGTTTCCAAAAAATGGAGATTCCCAAAAGTCACCTTCTAGGAGCTTTAGTACTGCAGTCTATTGAGTGAGTCGATGTAATGGAAAGTGGCTCCCAATGCCCAGCTTGTTTCAACATCGTCAATTTTCCGGGCAAGCTGGAAAAAAAATAAGCAAGAAAGTTAAAACACAATTCTTTGGGAGAATCTGAAGCACGCAAGGTGAACACACAGTGCTGAAGGTTATGACAACCAGATGGTGATACCATCGTGGGGAGAGTGCCGCTCCACCCACAACCACAGAGCACGTGCTGTAGCAAGAGGGCAAATCAAGAACTGAGCTGCCAGCATGACGACTCCTGCCTTGGCACCCTCCTGCCCACTTTCCCCAGCAATCCATTTTGTATGTCACCTTAAAGGCTTGGCTCTTTGGGAAGCCCAGCTCCTGCAGGAGGAAGGTGATGTACGTGAGGTCCATGCAGAGAAAAGGGCTGCTTCCAGGGCTGATTTCCATGGTCTTACAAACTAAGAAGAAAAAAACAGTGTCTGAATGCACACTGCGGGTTCAGGCATACCAACAGCCCAACTCTGAAAAATCTCAGCTGAATCTATAAAACACCTCTTGTCAGTTGAGCTGTGCAGTGATGGAACCTGTCACAATGGGTTGAAATGACATACACACATCAGGAGAAGCACATAAGCTTTGGAAGGAAGATCCAGACATTCTGTCTCTCCCCTAAGATAGCAGAATTTCTTTTATCTCTCCAGGAAAAGAGCCTCCAACTTCTTCTAATTCAAGGCTTCAAATATATAAGCAACCTCAGGTGTGTTACCTTCCTTGAGCACCAGCACTCAACAAATGTTGACAAAACCAAATTAAAAAAATCCAAAACCAAATAAAAGAAAAAGAAATGACAAAACCAAAATAAAACCTTTCTCAGGATGAATTACACAACCAGTATTCCAAAAATCAGAACAGCAATTGTTCAGTCATACATAAAGTTTACCAAAAAAAAACGTGACAGTTTGATCAAAGCCTGAGTTTGTGGTATTAAGAAAAGAATGTTTACACTAGTAAATCTGTGTAGACAGTTCTCTCTGCAGCTGATGAAGTGAAAAGCTATGAACCGGTTTTCCTCCTTTTCTGACCAACAATCAAGCAAATGAACAAAAAGACAATTAAACCAGATTAGAAAAGGTTATGCTAACAGGATGATAAAGCCACAACTATCTTGAAAGCATGATTTCAGAACAATTGTTAATTGTCAAGTAATTATTTACTAGTAATTCTTGAAAGAATTTTGAAATATATGTATTATGTGTCTTATATCGGCTGCAAAAGCAAATATAAAAATAGTTGAGATTTTCATAAAAAAGCAGAAGTGTTGGTGAGATGCTACGCAGAGGTACTCAATATTTCCTTAAAAACATGAGGCTTCTTAGTGTGTCACACATTTGCCACCTGGCAATGAATTTACACACAATAACTAGTAAGTGTTTGATTATATTTTACTCACCATATTTAGCTGCAATTTCAAAGTCACTGACAGTTAAGCTTCCTCCTTTCTCTTTATCTAAAAGGAAAAAAAAACTGTTCTTTTACAGTCTTCATATAAAGGCAACTATAGATTCAAGTCATAAAAGCTGTTTCAAAATCAAATCTTGAGCCACTGAAACCAATGTCAAAATTCAGACTGGTTTTAAAGGTAAAAGAACCTTTAAAAGATTCTGACTATAGGCTGAGAAGCCTTTGTTTATGAAGAACCTTTAGCCTCGTTTCCTAAAGAAACAAAGTTTACAGACTCTCACTTGATCCCTATGCCTATGCTGCTCGGCCAGTGGTGCCCGAACACAGTTATCGGACAGGGCGGGGTGCTCTGCAACACATTAAATCTGAAATTATTTGTAAAAAGAAACTGGTCAAGGAGGGGGGTATGTTTGTCCAAACTAACTTGAGATGTCATAATCTGCTTTCTACCACAGAACGTGACAGCCTTCTGTACACCAGCATACCACTGGAAAAGAGATGTGATGCATTTTGAATACATGTGGAAATATCTGAAAATCTTCATTCCATCTAAAAAGGTCAGTGGAGCAAAACACACAGCCAAAATAATTTTTTCTGCTTTACTGACTGAGAAGTTTGTTTATCATTATGAAGTTTTTTCTATTTTGGGTTGTAATAAGACAACAAAACCTCTTCTGGAATGCAAACCGTTTGTTTAAAAACAAAGTTTACCAGACATTGCAGATCCTATTTCACAGCCCCAGTCCCTTTCTACAGAAATTAACATTCAGTCAAAATCAATGCTGCGCAGCAGCGTAACAACAGACTAAGTTCCATAACAGCTTAGCAAAGCATCATGATGTCTGCAAGTGCTACCATTTATTCCATAACTTGTCATTGAAAATGAAACAAAACTAGGAGCAGACATACCTATGAGACCAGCCTCTGCTGCACGGTCATAGTAGTAGGAGAAAGTGTAAAAATCCAAATCCTTCACTTCCTCAGCTTTATGCACTTTTTTGTAGAGCATCTTTGCCACTTTATTAGAACAAGACTCATAGAGAGGCTCACCTAAAAGACGGCAAAAAACCTTCCAGCATACTATATATATATATACAGAGAGTTATATATACATACAATTTACTTAGTATCTGCCAAGAAACAGGCTCCTTTTTGCAAAATAGCACTCCATTAAATCTTCTTATGCTTATTATGCTTCTTCTTCCAGAGGCAAACACCTACCATCCTCAGGCTGGGACTAAGTATGTGACAGATAAGAGATGAACAACATCATTAGAGACAGAAGGATTTTGAAAGACCTGTTCAAGGATTGCTGAAGTCCATCTGCATCACTACCAGCAGCTTTACTGACTGGGCAGACACCTCATGGCACAACAGGAAAGAGCTGCATGATCTCTTTAACAGCACGGCAAGAGGAACCAGAGAGAAGAGTAAACAGAGTCTGGTATCTTTGCAAGAGGTTGAGAGTTTGATTTACTCTGCTAATCGCATCTGGCCCAGATAGGAAGAGTGATAAATCACTATACCTGCCTTCTGTCCTTTAATTTTGTACACTATCTCAGCATGTTGCCATTCAGATTTGAAGCCAGGTGGTAAACAAGGGCTGATCAACTCCTCTTCTGCTGCAGAAGTAAAACAAAGCCACACTAAACAAAAAGATGAAGAGTTAAATTCAGAGCCCTCACCCCCAGCAAGGCACCTCCATGGTCCAGTCACGGTTCAGATGTCCCATGCCCGCCTCCCACCCAGGGCTGGCAAGAATCCAAGTCTCCTGGGATCTAGCAATGTCACCTCCTGTATTTGTCTCAAATGCTCCCAGCCATAGTAACAGCAGTCCACATGCCACTCGGGAACCTTGAGCCCCGAGGGAAGGGGTCATACAACTCCTCCCCCCACCACCACCCTGTGCTCAGAGCCAAGACTTGAGGACTGCCCATAACTTACAGGGTTTTCCCTCAACTCCGCCCAAAATGGCAAGCCTTGCTGACATCAGCCCAAGTCCCAGGTAACTGCAAAGGGATAAAAGCCTCTGTGAAAAACAAACATCATTCCTCTGACACTCCACTGACAACCTGGCTGGGACATGCCAGTCTCCTCTGAACAGTCATTGCGAAGTGGCTTGAGTGAGCAGCTCATGCACATAAGAGGAACAGTGTGACAACCTGCTCTCAGATTACTCTCACCCAGAATGATAATTGCTCTCTGAAAAGCTCAGGCAATAGCTGGCAGCTGTAATCTGGCTCTTGAAGAGCTGGCAATTGTATCCCAAAGGCACCCCAGCCACTAGCATACAGAACTGACTCTTTCTGAGGCCAAACATACCCCACAGCAAACGCAGGTGGGAAGAAGTTGCTTGTCTCTGCCCAAAATACTGGGAGCGACAGATACAAAGTGCTATGAACTGACTCCAATCCCCATTTTTCATTCTCCTGTGCCACTCAGTGGTGAAGAGGTAAAAGAGTTGGGAGTGAAGCTGAGCCTGGGAAGGAAGGAGGGGTGGAGGAAAAGTGTTTTTTTATTTTTATCTTATTTCTCATTATCTTACTGTTTAATTGGCAATAAATTAAATTAAATTCTCGAAGTCAAGTCTCTTTTGCCCACGACAGCAACTCTTAAGTGACCTCCCTGTACTTATCTTGACCCATGAGTTTTTGGTCGTATTTTCTTCCCCCTGTCCTATTAATGGAATGGGAGCGATAAAGTGGCTTGGTGGGCACATGGTGGGCGGCCAAGGTTAATCTACCACAATCACATGGTTCAAGTGTCTCCACTTCTTCCCGGTACTCACTGGCAAGGATCCCAGTTCAGAAAAACACCTAGGTCTCACTGGCTTCACAGAAAGCTTTGATTTGTAAAGTGTGCTCTCCTTCCCACAACTAACCTGTACGAATACAGCTTGTAGGTGTGGTTAAACATGTGAAATGAAGTTGTGTGGCCAGCTGGTGATGTCTGGAGAGATCCCTGGAGGGACAAAAAGATGTCACTGACAGATTTCTGCCATCCAGCAGCAAACATCAACAAAGAAATCTTTCAAAAGTCAGGAAAAACATGAAACGATCCTAGCATGATTTAGAGAGAAATTACGAATTTGCAAGTATTTCAAACTGACTGCTGATATGCAAGACAACCACAAAACCTGGAGCTAGTAGTGTCTTCACATAACAGTCTCTACACTGGTTACACCAAAATGCCGTGTAAAAAAATTACTTTCATTAAAAGGAATCCTTATTCCAGCTCTTAACTGCTTTTGTCAAGAGGTTACAGCAACTGCCTCTTCACGTGATCCCTACTACAGAAAACTGTGAGCAAACTAATACAAAAGCCAGGCATACATTAACCTCCTACTTGAGTGGAAATAATCTGTGAATTTGCACAAGCCAGAGGAAAAGCACTTTACTGTGCTTGCCAAGGAACAGAGTGAGGACCATCCTCTAGTCTGAAGAAATTAAAGGATAATTATCTAACACACTTTGCAACGTATTCCCCGAGTGCACCGGAACTAGCACGTTTGTGGGGAGCAAAGCTCCGGCCCCAATGCTGTTCATGCTGCTCATATCTTAACACAATCTCTATGTCCAGAATTTCCACATCCCAGACCCTTCACATCCCTTGCCATTCTGCTGTAACAACGCATGTCTTGATTATCCCAAGCTGGACACAGCATCCCATCCCTCTGCTTTTGTGCAGCTTTACTAAGAATACTATCTCTGCTCAGGCCACGGCCTTACAATTCCACACCCACAGGGCTTCCAGCTCACAGAACACCTATAAAAATGCCACACCAGGAAGCTGAAATGACATCAGAGTATATTTTTTACTGCATAACAGCAGCTGCTCCTTAGAAAGCATTCATTTGCAGCTGAGTGAACCCAGGAAAATTAAAAAACCAGGGTCGAGAAGACATCTGTGTTCCTAAAACCCACTGCAGGCCAAATCTTGGACTTGAATTCATGAACAGCATTGCTTTTTGAGTTCTTCGTTGCAAGCTGCACAAACTGAGAGTCAAGGATTAGGACACTCAGGTGAACAGGGTATTTTCCACGAGATAAAGCAGCCCTGGCACTCGCCACATGCACCACCGACCCACGGAGCTGGAGGATGGACAGAGTTGTGATGCCTCTCTGACTATAAGAAGGCAGATGTGACCAAGTGACCTGAGGTTTTCTGTCACAAGTGCGCCTTCATGTCACACTGACAAACTCTTGCTCTGTCTCCAAGGGAAAGAAATCTGAGCAGTTACTGATTTCTGCACCAGCATTTCCCAACCGTGTGCATGCTCACATTACCTCAGTGCGCGGAAGGAAGGTGATCTGTGTTGATCCACCACCCAAATCCAGCATCCCTACACTTCTCTTCTGCGGATCATCTAGTCTACCTGAAATGTGTGGCAGAACAGAGAAATCCAAGGTGGGCACTGTGAGAAACTGGCTAGGAACAAAACCAGAAGTACAGTGGTAAAGAAAGAGAATAATCTAACTCCTTCTGTCAGCTTCCAGACAGAACTAAATTATACTGTTACCTACTGGGCACTGATTTTGGCTTTATAAGACCCAAAAATCTTAAAGTGACAGAGTTTCTCTTATTTCTCTGGTGGCTGTTCATGTCCTAATTACAGCAGCTTTGGTTATTGCATTCCTAAATATTTCTCAGTGGATGCAAGGACCTTTTACAAACCCTACTCTGGTAACCACTTTGTAACACAGAGGAATGTGGTTTTCTTGGCCACCTCTCCCTGATCCCTTAGCAGTATTTTGCAGTTTCCTATGGCCAAAGGGATGGCATACTGAAAAGAGCTGTCCTAATAGACTCTGCCCTCTTGGAATTCTTCCTGCTGCCAGCCAAAACCACTCCTCTCATCTAAGTCTAGCTCTTCTCAGTTAGATCCCTCAAATGCACCTTCTTGACAAGGACAGTTTGTGCCAAGTACCTCAGTATACCTCATGATGGCTGATGTTTGAAGATCACTAATCTTTCTGATATTTCCTGGGGACATAAAAAGCTTCAGAGCACACTGCTCCACACACTGTGTGTGCTGAAGAGAGCACTTGGATGGCAGACTGCATTACATATTGTCAGACAGGTCTTCAGCTGAGTTTTTTCTCTACTCTTCAGCTGCCCTTTTCTCACTCAGCAGCGTAAACACTTGTGGCATTTCTACATTATAAATCTGTAAGGAAGTAGCATAGCATTTTCTTTTACTCCGTGCAGCTGCCAAGCACATCTAGAGCATTCACATTAAAAATTTAGCCAGAGTCACAGCAGACTCAAAAAGGAATAAAATGCTCTGGTACCCTACAGGGAACTGAAAGAAACGCTACATTAAACATCTACAGAAAAAGATTAAACTCCTCACTCTGTCAAGTAAAAGGCCAAAATCCTAATGACTTAAACAGGCCAGGCCAAAAATAGCTGCTGACTTATTCTCAGACTCTTCTTTCCCCTATTCCACGCCAATGAATGAGCAAATCCCATGGAGGGGCAAAAACCAGCATGAATTTCACAGCATCCATCATATCTTTATGCACATGCTCATGTACACATACCTGTTAAAAAGTTTATTGTGATCCAGGCTGAAATACCTAATGAGGAGAAGATTCAGAAGATGCACTGTTAAATCATACCATTTCATTTTATCTCACAGCAGTAACAAGTACATTACATTTCCAGAACTGTCAGTGGCTGCCCAATACCAAGGTAAGACGCCTTGAACGAAGAGAATTACCTCCTCTATAACAGCTTTTGTGATATTTGTGAGAGAAGCCCCATGTATGAAATGCCCGGAGAACTCTGTATTTCACAGGTCAAAAAGTTAGGCAATGAGCTACAAAGGCTTCAGTTCTCAGTTAAAAGACAACAAGACAACTGAGACTCACATTGTTTGTCTTCTAGAAAAACACTTGTATTTTTTTCCACTTGTAGAATTTTGTTTGATATTATGCATTCAACCTTCCTTTTGAATACTAAGAATTTTTATCTTTCAGTGTTCTAATTTTTCCTCTTTTCGTCTAAGCAATTTTGTGAGCTATGCCATTTCTGTCCTCTTTTTTTTTAATAAACCATTTCTCCATAAATTAGGTGAATTAGTGGGCCTTATGTTAACAAATTCAAATATTTATTCATGTGGTTAAAACTCAAAGCATTCTAGGGAGCATGGCCCATTTCAACCCTTGGCTGAACCAAGGCTGTCACTGTTATTAATGATTTTAAAACAAAACAACAAGAAGAATTACAATGCCTTTCTACCATTATGTAGCAAAAAAAGAAACTCATAAACAGCTTCACCTATTTTAAAGTTTTGTTTCTAAGCAGATTTAAAACACATTTCAACACTCAGTTACATAGAATTTAGATGTTCTGTCCTCAGCACTTTTTGATGAACATCATCTTACTTCAGTATATATTTTTTTCTCTATATAATATTTTTTTCAGATCGAACTCACAATCCCACTCATTAGATCAGCTTTAATTAACATTATGACCACATATTCCCAGAAAGCTCTGATAAGTATTGTCACAAGCAGAGTGTGCAAACCTAGTTGTTGAAGACCATCTCAACAAGCAGATATTAAGAAACTTTTCTGGAAGTGCTGACTGCACAGTGGCTTCCTGGTGATCCTACAGGAACTGTCCAACACTCAGAGCTTTAAAGATCAGGACAGAGTTCAGGACTTCAAATTGGAAAATGTAGCACAAGATCTCTTTGGCAGGCACTGCCTGTGGCAGCATAAAAACTCTGTCAAGCCCACTGCTTCTGGGTTCCCACTGCAGTGAGTAAAGGACTTGTCACAGTGCAGCAGGAATCTCCAGGACTCCAGAAGGAGTCTCCACAAGATAGCCTACCTTCATCAGTTCCGTTCATTATTGACACACAGTCGTCCCTCACAAAGAAGGGGGAAGCCTGAAATATCTCCTTCACCTGCAGTTCAAATAAAAGCTACAGTCAGAGAAATACTTTTTCAGCTGGAAAACAAGTTTTTTAAAACTCCAGTTCTACACTACAGCTCCTCTTCTCGGGCCAAATCCTGACTGCTGCTCACCACTTAGTTTGAAGTTCAAGAGTTCAACAAGCATCACCTTTACATACCTTTAATTTGGTGCAGAGACAGGAAATGGATGAGTGGGTTTTCAAGGATAAAGACTGCTCAGAAATGCCATTAGCACGGAATGACATGGGTAGGAAATGGACTCCAGTTTACTTTGCCGCAATTGGTGACCCACAGGCTACCATACACGCATGGGAAAGGCAGGAGATGGACAACCTAGCTTTCAGGAATGTCCCAGGGAACTGCATTTTCAACAAGAGCATGTTGGCTGATAATGATCCTCTATACCCTATCCTATATGAGGCAGCAGAGCCCTAGCTTTGCAGGGTCCTCTAAAGTTTCAGCTGAAATTCAGTGTGGAAAAGAACTGGCCAGGCTGCAGGCAGCAGAGGCTTTGGTTTCAACCACCCCCCACTTCTTCCTTCCAATTATTGCTTAGAAAAAGAGTACACTCAGTGCACACTTAATAAACATTTCCTGCAGCTCAAAGGTCTAGAACATGTTTTATTTTTGTAATATTTTAAAATATGAAATGCATTTTACATGCCTATAAATACAATTTACATTATTTTCAATCAATATTGAAAGGAGTGACCTTGCAGCAGCAGGTTGACAACGTGGCCAACCAAACAGCAGAGAGCTTTTCTCAAAATAGCACCATCCTGGTCAAACCCACCACCAAACACGACCAGTAAGAACAGGCCTGTAGTTACTGTTAGTAGGGTCTCACTGCCTTTGTTATGTTATCTGTCACCTCCCAGTTTACTTGGAGCTGCCATCATTCCTCTTGCTTGCACTCACACAGCTTTTCCCCCGAGTGCATTTGAGATCAGTTGGCTTTGACTGTTTTTGGGCTAAACAATTGGAATTGATTAATATACACAAAAAATATGCACATTACACAGAAAGGACCACAGTTTGCTACACAATATCTGGCAAGCAAATGGAAAGACAAGAAATAGTACCTTGTCCAGCAACTTTTGAGCTTTCTCTCCTGGCAGCAACCGTAGGCCAGCTGTGGCTTTCAGGACCAGAGGAGTAAACTTCCACAGCTCCATAGGAACTTCCTTCTTTGCCACCTCCAGGAGCTCTTCTATTCCCTGGACACTCTGTGAGCAGAGAAAGAACAAAAAAAGGCATCTTAAAAACTCTTTTGAAAGGGAAAAAGGGTGATCAGAGGCTCAGTTCACTGTAAATGTGAAACAGACAAACTAAAAGCATGAGGGGCCAGGAGAAGGTATAGGACTCACTATCTCCTACAGCGTAAGTCCCAGTGGATATAACAGATTATCGAGCTACAGGTCAAAACTTGAAAGAGTCTCTTTTTCAGACAGTGACATAGAACTTTCTGCCACTCAATGTTTTGGCTACAAAGGGCTCAAAAAGCAGTATGACAAATTCTTGGAAAACAAAGTTTTTTGGAGCCAGTAAAACACTATGAGCTGGGTATAAGTCTGGCTCAGGGAGTGCCTAAATTCCTGTGAGCTTGAAGGTAAGGGAGACAGAAGAGAAGTCACTTAAATTACCTTTTCGACATCATCAGCATATGCAGATAGACCTGGTTTCAGTGCTTTAAACGTCTCATGGGTCAGTTTGGGAGTTTCTGTTCAAAAGCAGTATTCCAAAATAAGTAACAATACAAATAATTTTGCATACACAAAAAAAAAATCATTTAACAAATTACATTACTACATGCTAACGGAAGTCCGTTGAAGCCTCTGTCTAATGAACTTTCAGTAGCCACCTGACCTCTAAAAACAGCCCTTGCTATGGAATTAGATTATGAGAAAACCATTTTTAAACTCATTACTGGTTTTCAGGTGCTGGTGTCCACGATGCTTACATTTTTCACGCGTATCAGACAACGGGTGCAACTTGTCTTTGAGGCCTCACACCTGCCATGTGCAGCTTTTTAAACTGCACCTGTAACAAAGACTCCAAATTTCAGCATGCTCTGTTCTGACTAAACTTGGTTCCAGCAAACCCTAGTGGAAGTTTTTCCACTATTTTCAGTAACAGCAGAGGGAGCCAGATTTAAATATGTTGCCAACCTGTAGCACTATATGTACCCGCAATCAAGACAACACCAGCCCAACACCGTCCTCCTGTACCCAACTACATTCTATAAAGTTTGCTGCAATATATTCTGAAATTATATTTAAAGAAAAGCAGGCGAGGAAGCAGTGAAGACTTGGGAATACATTAAAAGAAGGAAATCACTGGACTGTTGTTTAACACCTTTGTTGGCTAAGCCTTACAACGGCCCATTATGCAAACCTACTGTGCTCCCCAGAGGTCAACCATACCATACACGCTGCTAATCCTGAAAACCTTCAGGTCACCTACTAATAGCATCCACACAAGTTCTCTGATCTTTAACACATAAACAAATGAAGCCTAGTGCTCCAGAGGAAAACTGGGGATTTTTTGTACACTTCTGTCTCGTTTCTCAGCAGTTCCTGTCCAGATGCAATACACATCAATTTTAATCAAACAATTTGCAATTTTTGTTTTGTTTTACAGTTTAAATCCAACACTGAAGCCAAGGATGCACTAAACCAGACACTGCAGAGAGAAGCAGCTGACTACCAGGAACTGGAGACAGCCAACAACCTCATGGTGAAAATTTGGGGAAATAAGGCAGTTTGAATTTATAATCTCTCTCACCAGTGTGATGAAAAATTGCCCTTCTTCAAGCCACAACTCTAAAAGTACAGCTGCTATTTAGTTCACATTCTGACATTACAGCATTTTCTTCTTGTTGAATGTTTCATAATTTCATCCAAACATACATGCCAGAATCATAATATACTTCCCACTGACTCTTCAGAAAGAGCTGAAGCATGTTTGTTCAAGTAATTCCTAGAAAAGAATCATCAATAATCTGCTCCATAACGTAATGGAAGATTTAATCTATCGTGCAATGAGCAGGACATACCTCTCGGCTGCTGTGTAAATTTAAATATATGGATGCGAGTTCCTGTGCTTCCTGCATCAAACATAATTCCATAAAAGACTGAGAGATCTGCGGTCACTGCCCGATGGTTCAGTTTATCTCCCTTGCTTTCAGCAATTCCTTCTGTTGCTCCCAGGAGTGGTTTGGAATCCAAGCGCCATTTTATGTATGCAACATAAATAGCTATGCATGCCAAAATCCCAAAAGCGAAGAACCGCTTTGACATCTTCATGGCTTCCATCTATCAGATGTTTTGCGTCTTCCCTTTATCACACAGAACAGGTGGTTCCCACATCATTCCTACATCCAACAGAAGAGAAAAAGTCTCTTTTATTCTCTAAACCTGAGTAATGGATCTAAGAGTATGATGCCTACAACACTGAACACTCCCAGTTGATCCAAAGGAACACATCCTCCCTCAGCACATCATTGAGATCTACAGCTAACCTTGAGGCACGGAGCAGCATAAATCTTCTTTTCCCCCACTGCTACAGAGGCCTTAGAGTCACAGAGTAAGGAAAGTTCAGAGAAGCTAAATACAGTAAGTGAGGTGGGAAGGGACCTCAAGAGGCCTCCAATCCAATCTCCTGCTCACAGCATGGGCAGCTATGGGGCCCCTCCATTTTATCCAACTCAACTTGAAGAAGTCTGAGAATGAAGATCCCACAGCTTCTCTGGCACTTTCCTGGATAGTGAAAGAATCCCAGAAGATTGGACAAGGACAACTTTTTAAAGGGCAAGAGGGAATTGAGTGCCCCTCTCCCCCATCTCCAATACCAGGAAAGAAACTGCAGCAAAGCACAATGCAAAAAATCTAAAAGCACTCACCTGACACCATCCAGATGATTAAAAAACAGTCAGTGATGATTTATGGGAAGCAAAATAACATTATTTTTCCTTTTTTCTAAAGGGCAATGAAGAGAGAACAAACCAATCGACCAAGTTGAGTTAAACAAGGTTTTGACACACATCATCTGTTGGTGATATAAATTCAGGAGGAATACAAAAGGTGTGAAGGGGAGGAATTTAAAATCAAGATGATTACAAGCATATTGCCAAAAGCAGGTAAGACAAAATTTCGTAAAAATGGAGAACACCTAAACCACAGGCACAAATATACGTGAAGAACAGATCAGCGTAAGGGAAAGGGAACTGTAGGCTGTCATGACACTGAAATCAGGAAGACGGCATTGGGGAAAAAAAAAAAAAATCTTCCTGGCTTCTACCAGCAGGCAGGGACATGCAGGTGGCAATCGCTGCAGGTCTACGGGATGATCACTCCAACCCTTCTAGTGCCAGAAAGGCCTCAACTGCAGCTACACGAGAGCTAAATGTCACAGGAAGGAGCAAAAGCCGCAGGGATCTTGTGTCTTTGAAGAGACACGAGCCCCACCGCAGGAAAGGGAGGACTGCAACGATGAGGGGGAGGCCTGGAGGCGCAACAGCCTGGAAGCACTCCCACCCTACCGCCGTCTGCCCGACGAGGACTGGGACTGTCCTTTCCCTGCCTTTGTCAGGGGACGCCGAGATTTTTCTGCAAGTGAAAAATCTTCCCGCCTGCGCCGCCGAGGGCGGACGGGGATCCGGGCGCCGGGATCCGGGCACGGCCCGCAGGACACCCCCAGCTCACGCACATGTCCCGCTGCCCTCCCTCCCTTCCTCCCTCCCTCCCTTCCTCCTTCCCTCTCTCCCTCCCTCACTCACCCCCCGCTCACGCCGCCCCCGCCGGCCCCGCCATGACACCTCCGCTGCCCGGCCTGCGGGCGGCGCCGCTCCCAGCGCGCAGGCGCGGGGTGGGCCCCGCGCCGTGAGGGGAGGCCGGTTCGGCAGCGGGGGAGACCCCCCGGGGCTGGGCGTTCCCTGAAAAATGTGCTTAAAGGTGGAGCGAAACGCTCCAAATCGGAGAGATGTGGGGGAACGGTGTTGGAAAAGTGTGGGATATGTCGTAACTACCTTTAAGTCATAGTGTTATTTGATGTTTGATCTTTGTGTACTTTCAAGCCTCATTAGCAAGAAAGGAGACTTAATCAGTGGAACAGACAACAATTAACGAGCTCTAAGGATGGGGTGCATCCAGACGCGATCTCTAAAGCATGATGCAAATCAAGAAACTGCTGTATGTCAGTAGAGCAGGTGGTAGTTAGCATCCCTCAGTCAAGGACACCCTGGAGCTAATAAACTCTAAGGACAAAGTAAATGAAGATGTTGACCTATATATTGTCAACTCGGCAAAAGATTCGGGGTCCACTTATCCTATAGCTCAACTATCTTCATTATAGTACTAAAGATCATGCCTACAGGTGAAAAAGGTCCTGCCCTGGCAAAGCCCCTTCCCCTGAGCATATATAGAAGTTAGGTGGGATTACATAAATTGTATGATAATTACTAATCTTAATAGAGGAGCTGTACTTGGGAGGCTACTAACACTAAATTTCTATGTATAAAGAATGGCATGTAAAGTGTGGAAGGGTGTCCTTGATTTGTGGAATACCACCGAGCATCCCAACTTGCACAACTATGAAATAAATAACCAGTGTCCCTCTCGAGTGTCTGATCATTGGCTTGTTGCACACTGGGTAAGGAATCCATTTTTTGTGGACAAGAGGAGCAGTCCCCAGGCTGAGGGGAGGTGGGGCAGAGCAGGGGCTGTGCGAGCAGCGGGAGAGGCCCCATGGCCCAGGGATAATGCCTCCAGGAGACGGCTGGCACGGCTGCCAGGCACCCTCTGCACCCTGGTGAGAGCCTGCCAGGAGCTCTTGACCAGCAAATTTGGGCCAGCTCTGATGTGGGAAGTGTGGGTAGATGTGAGCAAAGGAGGCCCTCAGGTCACTGTTCCATGCCTTTCCCCATACATCATGTTCCTTTAATGGTTTTCCTGCTTGAGTAGCTTCCTTAATGGCTCTTCTGCCATCTAAATCATTTTGTCTTCCACCAGCTCAAATTATCCTTGCAGCAGCAGCTTTCTGCTCCAGCCCATCTGGAAGAGCGTGTAGACGCAGTTTGTGAGTGAGACCCTACAACTACGTGAAAGGAGGTTGTGGCGAGGTGTGGTTCATCCTCTTATCCCAGGCAACAGGTGATAGGACAAGGGGAAATGGCCTCAAATTGCACTAGGAGAGGTTCAGCTTGGATTAGGAAAAGTATCTTCACTGAAGGAGTGATAAAGCATTGGAAAAGGTCTTCCAGGGGAGTGGTGAAGTCACCATCTCTGAAAGTACTCAAAAAATGAGCAGACATGGCCCTTTGCAATACGGTTTAGTGGTCATGGTGATATTCAGTCAAAGGTTGGACTTGATGATCTTGTAGGTCTTTTCCAACCTTAATGATTCTATGTGTGAGAGCACTACAGCAAACACGAGGCATGAAGAGATGGAGACTGATTTAGAAATCAGATGCAGAGAAGAAATCTAAGCCATGATGCTCTTGGTTGCATGCAAGAGGCTCACACCCTCCCAACAAGTCCCACCATTGCTCCCGCAGCTCCATGTGTGTGCACGTGTCTGTGATAAAAGACCCTGCTGGGGAATAAAGGCAGAGTCTCCCAGGGTGTTATTTATTCCAGCAAATGACTCCCTCATAGCATTGTTTGGAAAGTAAATTAATTTTGCGGGTTTTTTTTCCCAGCCCTATGAGTAGCAGGCATTGAGGAATTTCATATTATGGTTACTGTTCAAAACAAACTCTCTGTCTGTTTTACCCAGGTAAATGAAACTGATCTTTCCTACTATTTTTCTAATTTGTTTTAATGTTTTGTAATTATTTTTTAAAGGAATCATGCTATTAATGGGAGAATCTTGCAAAGGGACCAAGAATTAAATTTTTTTAAGATTGTATCTCCTCTGAGATGTGATTGCAACAGACTCTGTGTTTAGTTTCTATCGTGGTTTGTAAGCAAGACCCTGACAACATGATTTCACCACATTCCTGGTAGTCACAGCATCTCAAGAGCTGCAAACCCAAAAGGAAGAAGATCGACAGGAGAACCTCAGGAAAGATACAGCCTGACTGCTGGATAACCTTTATGCCTGGGGCCGAGGGGAGGATGACTCTCGAAGCTGCACTGCTGGTCTTGGTGAGTCTGCAACATGGCATCATCTAGTTCTGACCCAAAATATGAGATGCTGAATAATTAAAATTTTACGGGTTTTTATGGGTGTTACTGTGCCAGCTGTAGCTCAGTGATAACTGGTGTCAGTGTGAAGGTAAATTCAATGCAAATAAGCTGGTTTTCAGTTAGCTTTGGCCTAAATGATCCCTTTTTGATAAAACAACAAAAAAATGGGAATAGGGAGTAAATGGGAATACTGAGCTACTCAGCTCTGGAGCTGTCCATTAAAATAAATGACCAGGGTGCCCTATCTCAAATCCTGTGGTTGTCACTGGGATTTTGGGCTGCTGTGAAAACTCCCACCTAGGGGCAAGTTTCCTGAAACTCAGAACAGGACCTGAGTCGCTTACATTTAGAAATAGACTCGTTACAAGCTCAAGCTTGTCTGAGCTCGTTGCTAGGGAAGGCCTGCTACATGAATAACCTGTTTCTTCTTTCAGGTTGCAAGAAAACAGGAATACTTTTGGAGGGTTACTGGGGTTAAAGGACTACTTGCGTTTTTTCTTCAAGGCAGAAGATTTAGGTGATCAGTATTGTTTTCCTTGGCAATGTAATGTTTTTCAATCCTAAATTAAATATGCTTCTGTCACCTATTGCTAAGTCAGCAAAACAAAGTGGTCTTTTCCCTTTTCACTAGGGAAGACAGATGATGCCAGGAAGTGAGGCCCTTGTGGAAAAGCAGGTCAGGCCAGCAGAGAGCAGTATTTTGTCAGGAACACCATTTCCCCAGGGACAGGACAAAATTTCTCTTCTCAGTATTTATTTCTCTTAGTTGAAATATCTTGCATATATGTTCATAAACAGTCCTGCAGTTCAGACTAGAGATTACGAAGAAATGGAATGCAATGCTGGGTTATTGTTGTTTGTTTGTTTGTTTGTTTTTTCCTTTTTGTGTTCATGGGAACAGTTCTCCAACTGGGGACCAGTGTAGGTGGTTTAAAAAGTTTTGGATTTGTTCCTGAGATTTTGTCACATGCAGTACTGTGGTCATTCTTAGAATTCAGCCATACAGTCTGAGGTTTGTAACAAACTTGCAAGTATGATGTCTATTTGTCATACATATTATTTATATGTGCATATTTATATTCATAGCTAGGTGTATTGTATTTATGCTTGGTATATATCATACGTAAGCTAGAATTCAGGTTATTGGGAACCATTTGGGAAATTATCTCTGTCACTCCAGTGTTAAAAGAACAATTGTGTTGGATTTCTGAATGAGAATTAATAAACAGGCATCAAATACAAATTGCACAAATAGGGGAGAATCTGTATAATTAAAAGGCTATTTCACCAATTTGGTCATGACTATTATGAACAGTAACAAAATTATGTTGTAGATAGAAGTACAAGGTCATTATTTTTGGCCCAGTGTGCCCACAAACTGCACATCATTGGCATGTTGTTTTGTGCAGGCCAGGTAGCAGCATATGCTAAATGTCACTGACTGGTTCATCTCCTCCCATCCTCAGAGAGGCACATGGGTGTTCAACCAGCTGACACGTGCCCAGCAGTAGAGTCTGGGCTGCTGTATGCAGACCCGATTGCACATGTGCAGCGCGGAAAAC